TTCTGCAATGATTTCCCAGATGGGAGTCTTGTAAATTTTAGGGAAATCCTGTAAGGACTAAAGGATTTTCCAGATTTTTTTATTTTTTTTCTGAATTTTTAGATTTTCCCGATTTTTCCCGATTTTTCCAGACTTTTTAGATTTTTCTAGATTTTCTAGATTTTTCCAGATTTTTGGGATTTTTTCAGATTTTTTAGATTTTTCCAATTTTTTAAGACTTTTCTGAGTTTTTCCAGATTTTTTAGATCTTTATTTAGATTTTTTCAGATCGTTGCGACTCGTTACTTTTACTCAACTTTATAGATGTCTCTTGCAAAAAAAATCTGGAAAAATCTGAAAAATTTAGAAAAATATAAAAAATCTGAAAAAATATATACAATCTGGAAAAATCTAAAAAAAATTAGAAAACTCTAAAAATCTGGAAAAATCTTTAATTTTTTTTACAGGATTTCCCTAAAATTTACAAGATTTCCCATCTGGGAAATCATGTCAGGGATAATGTGTCACCCCTCGCCGGACCACATCTGGTAGCCAACCCAAACGCAACATCACTCTCGGCAACGGTTCCCCAAAAGTCAACCCAATGCAAATGATTTCGCAGAACATGCCCGAGTCATTTGGCCTCACCAGAGTAAGTCATCACTCTTGCCTATCTCTCGTCATGAATCCGGCATATTTATCAATTATTGCTCCAGGACGCTTTGTATGTTCACATAAAGCTCATATGGAATCTTATGGAGCAAAAGACGATCCCAGGCCCCCCTGACCCCAAAACCATCAAGGAGTTTACATCCCAATTTTCGAATGCCAATGAGATTGAAAAAATGGCAAACAATCCGGCTGGTGAATCCCTCATCCCTGTGAAGGATGTTGTTACCTTCAAGGATCTCCAGCTTGGGAGAAAGAAGGTCAGCAAAGGGTTGGTAAACCTGGAGGAATTTTTTGTCAGCTATACGAAGGCCATTCTAGCTCGTCTTGGGATACGCATGTGGGCGCCAGACCTTGAAGATTTGCTGAACTCACTGTACAAAGAAGCTTGCCGCCAAGCTGCCCTCAAATCCTTCCTCCAGGCTTCTGTTGGTGGTGCTTACACCTACATGAACATCAATCCAAAGTATGCGACAGATCTCAGGCTTCTGATTCCTGCGTACAATCACTATGTCCACTTCTTGCAAAAAACCGGTACAATCGAGAGAAGAACCAGAGCGGCAAGTTCTGGATGGATGAAGAGTGTAAAGTGATTGCAAAGGCAAGAGAGTGAGTGAGTAACACCTGTGGTACTTTTTTCCTAGTCAACTTTGGTTGCTGATGTCTTGGTCTGCGTAGCTTCAAGACATTCAATTGAAATTTGTGCTTGCCCAGAATCTCCCTAAGCAATATCAGAAGGTCATATCCAATGTCAACTGCCATAGCAATGACAAATACTGTCTGAAAATGAGAGTTTATATCATCAAAACATTGAAGTTTTGGTCACCCAATGCCACCAAGTTCTTCCGCCGACTCGATGTCGCCATCCTGACATCTGATGAACTGGACGGTAAACGTGTGCAGCGTTGCAGACGAGTTTCTCCATCCACTCCACACCCATCCCTTTTCACCAAGCCTCTGAAAGGCCAACCGTTAGATTTCTACAACGCCGAGTGGTTCAATGACTTGTTACCTCAACAACGCATGGAAATCGCTAACACCCGTGAAGTCGTGTTTTTGCCTGACACCTCCCAATTGCTCATAGGGAAGAAGCTTGCTTCTGAAAAGCTATCTGAACAAAAGTTCACTCAGTAGTTCTTCGACCAACTCACAAAACCTTACGACCTCACCCATGAGATTGAAGAAAATGCCAATGAGGAAGAAACATCCGATGAAGAGGATGATCCCTCTTTCGACCCAGATGAAATCAATTTGACTCACTCTGTAAACAAGGAAGAAGAAGAGGAGCAGGAGACAGAAGGAGACGGTGACTTTGGTGATGACTCAATGGGTACTTCTGGTCACCTCAAAGAAGAGGAGGAAGATGCGGTCAGCAACGGCGACAAGGAGGAACTCGTGCGTGAAGCCCATTGCAATGCAATGTTGCTTGACGAGGATGAGGAGCTCTAACCATTGATCCTCTCAGGTAATAGCTTTTCTCTATTTTTGTTTTGTTTTTGTTTCTTAAAGAAAGCCCAAAAAAAATTGAAAACACCCCCAAAAAAAACAATTGAAAAATAAAAGTGCCAAAAAAATTGTATGGATATCTGTTTTTCTTCTTTTTCTTGCTCATGTAACTATGTAATGTTGCCTAGATGGAGGATATATACATTCCTTTTGATTTTTGGAATGATCTTGTTTCTTTTTTTGAAAAGGAATTCAATAATTAACCTCCTAAGCCCTTGCAATCGCGCATATGACCAAATAAAACAAAACAGAGCAGCCCGAGTTAGTCAACGCTGTGGCCCCAAATATTGTTTTTGCTCGCTGGGCATTAATCAAACTCCACTTGGGGTGTAGTTCTTTGTGCAGTTCAAATGGCCCTCAAAAAAAAAGATGGACATAGGATCACCATCATAATTTGTGGGACAGTTAAATAAACAAAGCATTGTTAATTTCAAATTTACCAAGTATGAATTTTTAAATATCCTGTTGTACAGCTAAAAACAGTCATGGAAGCGCACACAGATTGACACAGAGTATCTATTTTGTAGACAAGGGAAACAACAGGGGGGACAAATCATGTGGCATTTGTCTCAAAGCAACTAGAGGGAGATGGCACCTAAATTTCCAAGCTGGCAGGTGTCTATAAGCACAGACTGCCACCAATTCACCCGGGTCCACAAGATTATAGCCAGACCCTTCTAGTACAATTTTGAGCTGTAAATCATTCAGGGTGTGTAGGAAGTTCTCACTAACATCCACCAACGGTGGGCCACAAGTTACAGCTAACCGTACACAAGTGGTAATCTGATCTATGGAATCAGCGTAGGGAGTGCAGCAGGGGTAGCATGGGTAATTGATCATTATGCAGACCTGCTACAAGGTAACAAATACTATCAAGTTGCATCATAATGTAGAGAATTGATCAAAGTGATGCTATCCAAGGTCAAACCTCCATGAACCCTACCCCAACCCAAACCAATCAAATGGCATTCCAACCTGCAGTTGCAAACACCAATCTGACAAGCAATGCTCAAGGCAGTGCAATAGCAACCTTCAAGATATCTTGACATTCAATGACCAAGTAAAGCAGGATTTTTGGCAGATGAGATGGATAAGGTGGGTCCGGGATTAAAAACTTGGTTAATTTAGACAAACAAAAATCAATCAATGAAGTGCAGGATGAAGTAAAATAAGGGGGAAGGCAAAGCAATTGACAGTTTCAAGTAAAATATCAAGGCCAGCCTAAGGTTTGAATTAAGGTGTGGGTTACAGGGAATGAGTACAATATTGATAGAAGCAACCTTGTTATTTGAAAGGCAGCTTATATAATTTTTAACTATCCTTTTGATAGTGGACATGTAAAGATGTTGAGCATCTTGTGCCAGGAAAATCTTGTTGCCTTGGGAGTGCAGGTGGCCTATTTTTGAAGGCCAAACACCATTGACCAGCCTTCTGGTCGGAATTCAGTGAGCCCACAGATTGCCAATGACCCTTGCCATTGGGGATTTTATTAATCCTATTTTGGTCTAGAGGATCTGCACTGTCATTTGTATCTTGCGTTAACTTTTTGCTGGCAGATTCACCCACCGCTTCCAGCAGATGCCCCAGGGCCTAACTGCATTGATCCTAATTTGAAATGCTAAAACAAGCAAGCCCGGGGAAACACAAACAATCCAACTCTGCAAGATGCACAACCTCTGAAAGAGTTGCGTCTTGACTTTTCACTAACTTCCTTAATTATATTGTCAAGACAGGCACTAGCCTGGAGAGAACTTCTAGAATCTGAGTATGTATGAATTTCTTGAACTAGTTCAGTAGAATAAAATGTAAGAGTTCTCTCAGTACAATATAATTAGATAAGAATGATGAAGAAAGAAAGAAAGAGAATCAAAGAGAATTGTTGAAAGAGAATGAGATGAGAGAAGAAAGGAAATAGCTCACCTAGTTTGGTAGAATAAAATGTAAGAGTTCTCTACCAAACTAGGAAGGGGGAGGATGATTGTAGTTCAAGTAGTCGGATGATAGTTTGTGATTGTCCTTGGATATCCGCATCCGCGCAGAAATCCGGATGCGCCAGGTCCATCTCTAATCTCTACTATATCCAACCTTACTCTCAAGAGGAAAGAGACAGCACCATACACCTCCTTTGTAAATAAGTTCACTGTGGAGGGGCAAGATGTAAAGAATAAGCAAGCAGGTGAAGGTCTCAGGTGCAGGTTTGCAGGTTTCTTTTGTAAAGAGTCTTTAAGTATTTCTGAAGAGAGTTTAGAAAGTGTAAACAAAATAAATCCCATGAGGGGAGGGAAAAACAAGTGCAAGACAAAATTATTTATATTTATTCGACACGCGCTGAGATCTCAATTTCCCTGGCGCGATCTTCCAACAAGTTCGCGTCGCGGGTAGATTCTACGCGACTATTTTATACTATGTACATATAAATTGAGCTTTGAGAATGAAGAAATTTATAACCAAGAAATAGATTTTTTAAAAATAAATTTATAGAAAAGAGAATTTTTTGTTGTTTTCGCCTCGGAGTTGACACAAGAGAAATTGATAATGTCACAAACACTACAATTGACACTGCCCAGGAGTCAGGGTTTTTTGCCCCAAAGGCTCAGGCTCCTGATGAGCCAAAGTCAATGGGCCTAGTGCCTCAAACCCCTCTCCCCTAGCTGTTTGTTTCAATTTCAGCTTGGGGAGGCAGTTCTTCTTGGTCTAGTGGAAGGGCGAGCCTTCCCTAGACTGAGATATGTAAACTAGGCTCTGCGGCGATCACCAATTTCCACAAATGTCTCAAGCCAGACTGAGAGGAGTGGACACTGGACAGCAATTTTTGCGCTAAATTTCAAGTCCGCACGCGACTGTCCTGGGGCTTGTCGCGATAGGAGGAGTAACTACTAGCTTAACATAATCCCCTCGACCAGAGGGCCGTGGGCATCTCGCGAAGCGAGCCTCTGAAAGAGGAGTTAGGAGTAACTACAGTTTAGGCGCATATGGAAAAGAGAGATTGCACGAGGCGCGCTTCAAGATCCCCAAAAAGCCTGCCGACCGACTCTCTTCAGCCTCAGTTCTTCACAAGAAGATCACTTGACTTATGTTGTCATCAAGGCTAGCGTCGTGGCTCAGTTCGCCAATGAATTTGTTCCACTGTGGAGCTCACCATCCGGTTGGACATCGAGTTGAGCACCAGAACCGTCATTGAGTTCTTCATCTAAATACTTCGCCGATTTCCATTCGCTATCGAGCCTGCCATCTACT